AGAATGTGAACATCTAAGAGACATTAGAAATATGTGTAGAATAATAAACCCCACATTGTTTAAGTTAAGAAAACACTATTTGTGAAATATTGATACTGCTCTTAAAAAGATTTCCCCATTTTGCACCCGCAAGATAAAGTTAGATTTTAAGGGTTGACAGATGTTAATCTTCTTGTTTAATAAGCTGTTAACTTGGGACAGTTAAGCAAGTCCCAGCTGTGCCTGCGTACAAGTGACAAGATGAACAACCCAGCGGGTTTGTACACTCACAGGATGACTGGCGCTGCCCAATACTGTCACTATGGCGGTGTGTCCACTCCCAGGATGAGTGGCGCTGCCCAATACTGTCACTATGGCGGTGTGTCCACTCACAGGATGAGTGACGCTGCCCAATACTGTCACTATGGCGGTGTGTCCACTCACAGGATGAGTGATGCTGCCCAATACTGTCACTATGGCGGTGTGTTCACTCACAGGATGAGTGGCGCTGCCCAATACTGTCACTATGGCGGTGTGTCCACTCACAGGATGAGTGGCGCTGCCCAATACTGTAACTATGGCGGTGTGTCCACTCACAGGATGAGTGGCGCTGCCCAATACTGTCACTATGGCGTTGTGTCCACTCACAGGATAAGTGGCGCTGCCCAATACTGTCACTATGGTGGTGTGTCCACTCACAGGATGAGTGACGCTGCCCAATACTGTCACTATGGCGGTGTGTCCACTCACAGGATGAGTGATGCTGCTCAATACTGTCACTATGGCGGTGTGTTCACTCACAGGATGAGTGACGCTGCCCAATACTGTCACTATGGCGGTGTGTCCACTCACAGGATGAGTGACGCTGCCCAATACTGTCACTATGGCGGTGTGTCCACTCACAGGATGAGTGGCGCTGCCCAATACTGTCACTATGGCGGTGTGTCCACTCACAGGATGAGTGGCGCTGCCCAATACTGTCACTATGGCGGTGTGTCCACTCACAGGATGAGTGGCGCTGCCCAATACTGTCACTATGGCGGTGTGTCCACTCACAGGATGAGTGACGCTGCCCAATACCATCACTATGGCGGTGTGTCCACTCACAGGATGAGTGGCGCTGCCCAATACTGTCACTATGGCAGTGTGTCCATTCACAGGATGAGTGGCGCTGCCCAATACTGTCACTATGGTGGTGTGTCCACTCACAGGATGAGTGGCGCTGCCCAATACTGTCACTATGGCGCTGTGTGTCCACTCACAGGATGAGTAGCGCTGACCAATACTGTCACTATGGCGGTATGTCCACTCACAGGATGAGTGGCGCTGCCCAATACTGTCACTATGGCGCTGTGTGTCCACTCACAGCATGAGTAGCGCTGACCAATACTGTCACTATGGCGGTATGTCCACTCACAGGATGAGTGGCGCTGCCCAATACTGTCACTATGGCGCTGTGAGTCCACTCACAGGATGAGTGGCGCTGCCCAATACTGTCACTATGGTGGTGTGTCCACTCACAGGATGAGTAGCGCTGACCAATACTGTCACTATGGCGGTGTGTCCACTCACAGGATGAGTGACGCTGCCCAATACTGTCACTATGGCGCTGTGTGTCCACTCACAGGATGAGTGGCGCTGCCCAATACTGTCACTATGGTGGTGTGTCCACTCACAGGATGAGTAGCGCTGACCAATACTGTCACTATGGCGGTGTGTCCACTCACAGGATGAGTGGCGCTGCCCAATACTGTCACTATGGCGGTGTGTCCACTCACAGGATGAGTAGCGCTGACCAATACTGTCACTATGGCGGTGTGTCCACTCACAGGATGAGTGACGCTGCCCAATACTGTCACTATGGCAGTGTGTCCACTCACAGGATGAGTGACGCTGCCCAATACTGTCACTATGGCGGTGTGTTCACTCACAGGATGAGTGACGCTGCCCAATACTGTCACTATGGCGGTGTGTCCACTCACAGGATGAGTGACGCTGCCCAATACTGTCACTATGGCGGTGTGTCCACTCACAGGATGAGTGACGCTGCCCAATAAACTCGCCCCACATGACAAAATTAATAATTAACTTATGAAGATGACAAGGGTAAGGCGGGGAGTGTGGGAAGAAGTTAACAATATACTTGAGTGAGTGAGGCTGTGTTGTCAAGTTGTGTGGCAGAGACTGTGGTGTGTGAGGTGACGTGTGGGAGGAGGTTAGTCACGTCCGCCGGCTGCTGACTACCTGCATGGTGTAACTTCCTGTCCTGGTTGATACCTGGTTGATGGGGTTCTGGGAGTTCTTCTACTCCCCAAGCCCGGCCCGAGGCCAGGCTCGACTTGTGAGAGTTTGGTCCACCAGGCTGTTGCTTGGAGCGGCCCGCAGGCCCACATACCCACCACAGCCCGATTGGTCCGGCACTCCTTGGAGGAATAAATCTAGTTTCCTCTTGAAAATGTCCACGGTTGTTCCGGCAATATTTCTTATGCTTGCTGGGAGGACGTTGAACAACCGCGGACCTCTGAAGTTTATACAGTGTTCTCTGATTGTGCCTATGGCACCTCTGCTCTTCACTGGTTCTATTCTACATTTTCTTCCATGTCGTTCACTCCAGTACGTTGTTATTTTACTGTGTAGATTTGGTACTTGGCCCTCCAGTATCTTCCAGGTGTATATTATTTGATATCTCTCTCGTCTTCTTTCTAGTGAGTACATTTGGAGGGCTTTGAGACGATCCCAATAATTTAGGTGCTTTATTGCGTCTATGCGTGCCGTATATGTTCTCTGTATTCCCTCTATTTCAGCAATCTCTCCTGCTTTGAAGGGGGAAGTGAGTACTGAGCAGTACTCAAGACGGGACAACACAAGTGCCTTGAAGAGTACAACCATTGTGATGGGATCCCTGGATTTGAAAGTTCTCGTAATCCATCCTATCATTTTTCTGGCTGTCGCAATATTTGCTTGGTTATGCTCCTTAAACGTTAGGTCATCAGACATTATTATTCCCAAATCCTTTACATGCTGTTTTCCTACTATGGGTACATTTGATTGTGTTTTGTACTCTGTATTATGTTTAAGGTCCTCATTTTTACCGTACCTGAGTACCTGGAATTTATCACTGTTAAACATCATGTTATTTTCTGATGCCCAGTCGAAAACTTTATTAATATCAGCTTGAAGTTTTTCAATGTCCTCAGCCGAGGTAATTTTCATACTGATTTTTGTGTCATCTGCAAAGGATGATACGAAGCTGTGACTTGTATTTTTGTCTATATCTGATATGAGAATAAGGAAAAGCAGTGGTGCAAGGACTGTACCCTGAGGTACAGAGCTTTTCACTGCACTTGGACTAGATTTTATATGGTTGACAGTTACTCGCTGAGTCCTGTTTGACAGAAAACTGAGTATCCAGCGTCCTACTTTACCGGTTATTCCCATTGACTTCATTTTGTGTGCTATCACGCCATGGTCACATTTATCGAAGGCCTTTGCGAAGTCCGTGTATATCACATCAGCATTCTGTTTCTCTTCTAATGCCTCAGTGACTTTGTCGTAGTGCTCAAGTAGCTGTGAGAGGCACGATCTTCCCGCTCGAAATCCATGTTGGCCTGGGTTATGAAGGTCATTGGTCTCCATGAAATTGGTGACCTGACTCCTAATCACTCTCTCAAATACTTTTATGATGTGCGATGTTAGTGCAACTGGTCTATAATTTTTTGCCAATGCTTTGCTCCCTCCCTTGTGTAGAGGGGCTATGTCTGCTACTTTAAGTGCATCTGGTATCTCCCCCGTGTCCAAGCTCTTCCTCCACACTATACTGAGTGCCTGTGCTACCGGCACTTTGCATTTCTTTATAAATATTGAATTCCATGAGTCTGGACCTGGGGCCGAGTGCATGGGCATGTTTTCAATTTCTTTTTCAAAATTTAGTGCGCTCGTGTTTATATCAGTTATATTTACCGGGGTTTGAATATCCCGCATAAAGAAATTGTCTGGATCTTCCACCATCATGTTGTTTATTGGAGTGCTAAACATGTCCTCATACTGCTTTTTTAGGATTTCACTAATTTCTTTGTCATCCTCCGTGTATGAACCTTCACTTGTACGAATAGGTCCAATACTGGCAGTGGTTTTTGCTTTTGATTTCGCATATGAGAAGAAATATTTTGGATTTGTCTTTATTTCCTGAATTGCTTTCTGTTCTAACTGCCTTTCTTCAGTTTCATATGAGTGTTTCAATTTCCGCTCGATTTCTTCAATCTCCCTATTTAAATTATTCCTTCTTTGACGGGAAATTCGTGTCTGCATAAGCAGTTCCGTTATTTTTTTCCTGCGTTTATAGTGTCGTCTGCGTTCTCTTTCTACGCTAGATCTCTTTCTGGCTTTCCTCAAAGGAACATGTTTCAGACAGACTTGATACGCTTCTGAAGTAAGTTTTTCTATTCCTTCTGTAGGACTTGTATTATTTAGAACAGTTCCCCATGGAATGTTTGTAAGTTCCCTGTTTATTATCTCCCAGTCTATCCTTTTATTATTAAAATTGAATTTACTGAATAGCCCCTCTCGCTTTATCAACGTTTTAGGTCTATTCTGAGTATTGATGGTCGTTTGCACTTCAATGAGTTTGTGATCTGAGTATGTGGTATCTGATATCGTAATGTCTCTGATAATGTCTTCATTGTTCGTAAAGACCAGATCTAGAATATTTTCATTTCTCGTTGGCTCCGATATCTGCTGATTGAGTGAAAATTTGTCACAGAATCTAAGTAGTTCTCTAATCTGTGGTTGGTTAGGTCCTGATAGATTTCCTGGTATAATATTATTGTTTGCTATTTTCCACCTGAGACTAGGCAAGTTGAAGTCACCTAGGAAAATAATATCAGGTATCGGGTTCTCCAAATTATCAAGGCTATTCTCTATTTTGCTTATCTGTTCTGTGAATTCCTCAGCCGTTGCATCTGGCGGTTTGTATATTAGTACAATCAGTACTGTCCTTGGCACGTCCTGCTCCCTCGCCCTGCCTAAGTACGTGGTGCACGTACGAGCATCGTGCGCGTACCTCGCAACTCCCCAGACAATACTGGGGATGTGAGATCTGCTGCTCTAGCTGGGGATGTGAGGTCTGCTGCTCTAGCTGGGGATGTGAGGTCTGCTGCTCTAGCTGGGGATGTGAGGTCTGCTGCTGTAGCTGGGGATGTGAGGTCTGCTGCTCTAGCTGGGGATGTGAGGTCTGCTGCTCTAGCTGGGGATGTGAGGTCTGCTGCTGTAGCTGGGGATGTGAGTTCTGCTGCTCTAGCTGGGGATGTGAGGTCTGCTGCTCTAGCTGGGGATGTGAGGTCTGCTGCTCTAGCTGGGGATGTGAGGTCTGCCGCTCTAGCTGGGGATGTGAGGTCTGCTGCTCTAGCTGGGGATGTGAGGTCTGCCGCTCTAGCTGGGGATGTGAGGTCTGCTGCTCTAGCTGGGGATGTGAGGTCTGCTGCTCTAGCTGGGGATGTGAGGTCTGCTGCTCTAGCTGGGGATGTGAGGTCTGCTGCTCTAGCTGGGGATGTGAGGTCTGCTGCTCTAGCTGGGGATGTGAGGTCTGCTGCTCTAGCTGGGGATGTGAGGTCTGCTGCTCTAGCTGGGGATGTGAGGTCTGCTGCTCTAGCTGGGGATGTGAGGTCTGCTGCTCTAGGCAACTGGTGCACACCTGACAGTTCTGGCTCCTGCAAGGGCGGCTCACATGTGTGCACACCTGACAGTTCTGGCTCCTGCAAGGGCGGCTCACATGTGTGCACACCTGACAGTTCTGGCTCCTGCAAGGGCGGCTCACATGTGTGCACACCTGACAGTTCTGGCTCCTGCAAGGGCGGCTCACATGTGTGCACACCTGACAGTTCTGGCTCCTGCAAGGGCGGCTCACATGTGTGCACACCTGACAGTTCTGGCTCCTGCAAGGGCGGCTCACATGTGTGCACACCTGACAGTTCTGGCTCCTGCAAGGGCGGCTGACATGTGTGCAACAAGTGACTGTTGCAAGCACAGGTGTGTGGGAGGCACCCCCCCCCCCCCCTAGCAGGTCCTGTGTGGGAGCTGAGCGTGGGGGAGGCACCACCCCCCCCCTAGCTGGTCCTGTGTGGGAGCTGAGCGTGGGGGAGGCACCACCCCCCCCTAGCTGGTCCTGTGTGGGAGCTGAGCGTGGGGGAGGCACCACCCCCCCCCTAGCTGATCCTGTGTGGGAGCTGAGCGTGGGGGAGGCACCACCCCCCTCCCTAGCTGGTCCTGTGTGGGAGCTGAGCGTGGGGGAGGCACCACCCCCCCCTTGCTGGTCCTGGGTGGGAGCTGAGCGTGGGGGAGGCACCACCCCCCCCTAGCTGGTCCTGGGTGGGTGCTGAGCGTGGGGGAGGCACCACCCCCCCCTAGCTGGTCCTGTGTGGGAGCTGAGCGTGGGGGAGGCACCACCCCCCCCTAGCTGGTCCTGGGTGGGAGCTGAGCGTGGGGGAGGCACCACCCCCCCTAGCTGGTCCTGTGTGGGAGCTGAGCGTGGGGGAGGCACCCCCCCCCCTAGCTGGTCCTGTGTGGGAGCTGAGCGTGGGGGAGGCACCACCCCCCCCCCTAGCTGGTCCTGTGTGGGAGCTGAGCGTGGGGGAGGCACCCCCCCCCCTAGCTGGTCCTGGGTGGGAGCTGAGCGTGGGGGAGGCACCCCCCCCCCTAGCTGGTCCTGTGTGGGAGCTGAGCGTGGGGGAGGCACCACCCCCCCCCCCCTAGCTGGTCCTGTGTGGGAGGCACCACCCCCCCTAGCTGGTCCTGGGTGGGAGCTGAGCGTGGGGGAGGCACCCCCCCCTAGCTGGTCCTGTGTGGGAGCTGAGCGTGGGGGAGGCACCCCCCCCCCTAGCTGGTCCTGTGTGGGAGCTGAGCGTGGGGGAGGTACCACCCCCCCCTAGCTGGTCATGTGTGGGAGCTGAGCGTGGGGGAGGCACCCCCCCCTAGCTGGTCCTGTGTGGGAGCTGAGCGTGGGGGAGGCACCACCCCCCCTAGCTGGTCCTGTGTGGGGGCTGAGCGTGGGGGAGGCACCACCTCCCCCCCCTAGCTGGTCCTGTGTGGGAGCTGAGCATGGGGGAGGCACCACCCCCCCCTAGCTGGTCCTGTGTGGGGGCTGAGCGTGGGGGAGGCACCACCTCCCCCCCCTAGCTGGTCCTGTGTGGGAGCTGAGCATGGGGGAGGCACCCCCCCCCCCTAGCTGGTCCTGTGTGGGAGCTGAGCGTGAGGGAGGCACCACCTCCCCCCCCCTAGCTGGTCCTGTGTGGGAGCTGAGCGTGGGGGAGGCACCACCTCCCTCCCCCTAGCTGGTGATGTGTGGGAGCTGAGCGTGGGGGAGGCACCCCCCCCCTAGCTGGTCTTGTGTGGGAGCTGAGCGTGGGGGAGGCACCCCCCCCCTTAGCTGGTCCTGTGTGGGAGCTGAGCGTGAGGGAGGCACCACCTCCCCCCCCCCTAGCTGGTGATGTGTGGGAGCTGAGCGTGGGGGAGGCACCACCCCCCCCCCCCTAGCTGGTCCTGTGTGGGAGCTGAGCGTGGGGGAGGCACCCCCCCCCCCCTAGCTGGTCCTGTGTGGGAGCTGAGCGTGGGGGAGGCACCACCTCCCCCCCCCTAGCTGGTGATGTGTGGGAGCTGAGCGTGGGGGAGGCACCCCCCCTAGCTGGTCCTGTGTGGGAGCTGAGCGTGGGGGAGGCACCCCCCCCCCCTGTGTGGGAGCTAGCTGGTCCTGTGTGGGAGCTGAGCGTGGGGGAGGCACCCCCCCCCCTAGCTGGTCCTGTGTGGGAGCTGAGCGTGGGGGAGGCACCCCCCCCCCTAGCTGGTCCTGTGTGGGAGCTGAGCGTGGGGGAGGCACCCCCCCCCCCCTAGCTGGTCCTGTGTGTGTGGGGGAGCTGAGCGTGGGGGAGGCACCCCCCCCCCCTAGCTGGTCCTGTGTGGGAGCTGAGCGTGGGGGGGAGGCACCCCCCCCCCCCCCGAGCTGGTCCTGTGTGGGTGCTGAGCGTGGGGGAGGCACCACCCCCCCCTAGCTGGTCCTGTGTGGGAGCTGAGCGTGGGGGAGGCACCCCCCCCCCCTAGCTGGTCCTGTGTGGGAGCTGAGCGTGGGGGAGGCACCCCCCCCCCCCTAGCTGGTCCTGTGTGGGAGCTGAGCGTGGGGGAGGCACCCCCCCCCTAGCTGGTCCTGTGTGGGAGCTGGTCCTGTGTGGGAGCCCCCCCCCCCCCCTAGCTGGTCCTGTGTGGGAGCTGAGCGTGGGGGAGGCACCCCCCCCCCTAGCTGGTCCTGTGTGGGAGCTGAGCGTGGGGGAGGCACCCCCCCCCCCCCCTAGCTGGTCCTGTGTGGGAGCTGAGCGTGGGGGAGGCACCCCCCCCCCTAGCTGGTCCTGTGTGGGAGCTGAGCGTGGGGGAGGCACCCCCCCCCCTAGCTGGTCCTGTGTGGGAGCTGAGCGTGCTGGTCCTGTGTGGGAGCTGAGCGTGGGGGAGGCACCCCCCCCCCCTAGCTGGTCCTGTGTGGGAGCTGAGCGTGGGGTGGGAGCTGCAGGCCCCCCCCCCCCTAGCTGGTCCTGTGTGGGAGCTGAGCGTGGGGGAGGCTGGTCCTGTGTGGGAGCCCCCCCCCCCCTAGCTGGTCCTGTGTGGGAGCTGAGCGTGGGTGTGGGAGGAGCGTGGGGAGGAGCGTGGGGGACCCCCCCCCCCCCTAGCTGGTCCTGTGTGGGAGCTGAGCGTTGGGGTGGGAGGCACCCCCCCCCCCCTAGCTGGTCCTGTGTGGGAGCTGGCGTCCTGTGTGGTGGGAGCTGAGCGTGGGGGAGGCACCACCCCCCCTAGCTGGTCCTGTGTGGGAGCTGAGCGTGGGGGAGGCACCCCCCCCCCTAGCTGGTCCTGTGTGGGAGCTGAGCGTGGGGGAGGCACCCCCCCCCCTAGGGGTGTGGAAGCTGAGCGTGGGGGAGGCACCCCCCCCCCTAGCTGGTCCTGTGTGGGAGCTGAGCGTGGGGGAGGCCCCCCCCCCCCTAGCTGGTCCTGTGTGGGAGCTGAGCGTGGGGAGGCCCCCCCCCCCCTAGCTGGTCCTGTGTGGGAGCTGAGCTGAGCGTGGGGGAGGCACCCCCCCCCCTAGCTGGTCCTGTGTGGGAGCTGAGCGTGGGGGAGGCACCACCCCCCCCCTAGCTGGTCTTGTGTGGGAGCTGAGCGTGGGGGAGGCACCCCCCCCCCTAGCTGGTCCTGTGTGGGAGCTGAGCGTTGGGGAGGCACCCCCCCCCCCAGCTGGTCCTGTGTGGGAGCTGAGCGTGGGGGAGGCACCACCCCCCCCTAGCTGGTCCTGTGTGGGAGCTGAGCGTTGGGGAGGCACCCCCCCCCCTAGCTGGTCCTGTGTGGGAGCTGAGCGTGGGGGAGGCACCCCCCCCCCAGCTGGTCCTGTGTGGGAGCTGAGCGTTGGGGAGGCACCCCCCCCCCTAGCTGGTCCTGTGTGGGAGCTGAGCGTTGGGGAGGCACCCCCCCCTAGCTGGTCCTGTGTGGAAGCTGAGCGTGGGGGAGGCACCACCCCCCCCTAGCTGGTCCTGTGTGGAAGCTGAGCGTTGGGGAGGCACCCCCCCCCCCCCAGCTGGTCCTGTGTGGGAGCTGAGCGTGGGGGAGGCACCCCCCCCTAGCTGGTCCTGTGTGGAAGCTGAGCGTGGGGGAGGCACCCCCCCCCTAGCTGGTCCTGTGTGGGAGCTGAGCGTGGGGGAGGCACCCCCCCCCCCCCTAGCTGGTCCTGTGTGGAAGCTGAGCGTGGGGGAGGCACCACCCCCCTAGCTGGTCCTGTGTGGGAGCTGAGCGTGGGGGAGGCACCCCCCCCCTAGCTGGTGATGTGTGGGAGCTGAGCGTGGGGGAGGCACCACCCCCCCTAGCTGGTTCTGTGTGGGAGCTGAGCGTGGGGGAGGCACCACCACCCCCCCTAGCTGGTCCTGTGTGGGAGCTGAGCGTGGGGGAGGCACCCCCCCCCTAGCTGGTCCTGTGTGGGAGCTGAGCGTGGGGGAGGCACCCCCCCCCCTAGCTGGTCCTGTGTGGGAGCTGAGCGTGGGGGAGGCACCACCACCCCCCCTAGCTGGTCCTGTGTGGGAGCTGAGCGTGGGGGAGGCACCCCCCCCCCTAGCTGGTCCTGTGTGGGAGCTGAGCGTGGGGGAGGCACCCCCCCCCTAGCTGGTCCTGTGTGGGAGCTGAGCGTGGGGGAGGCACCCCCCCCCCTAGCTGGTCCTGTGTGGGAGCTGAGCGTTGGGGAGGCACCCCCCCCCCCCAGCTGGTCCTGTGTGGGAGCTGAGCGTGGGGGAGGCACCACCCCCCCCCCCTAGCTGGTCCTGTGTGGAAGCTGAGCGTGGGGGAGGCACCACCCCCCCCCTAGCTGGTCCTGTGTGGGAGCTGAGCGTGGGGGAGGCACCCCCCCCCCCAGCTGGTCCTGAGTGGGAGCTGAGCGTGGGGGAGGCACCACCCCCCCCTAGCTGGTCCTGTGTGGAAGCTGAGCGTTGGGGAGGCACCCCCCCCCCCCTAGCTGGTCCTGTGTGGGAGCTGAGCGTGGGGGAGGCACCACCCCCCCTAGCTGGTCCTGTGTGGGAGCTGAGCGTGGGGGAGGCACCCCCCCCCCTAGCTGGTCCTGTGTGGGAGCTGAGCGTGGGGGAGGCACCCCCCCCCCCTAGCTGGTCCTGTGTGGGAGCTGAGCGTGTGGGAGCCACCCCCCCCCCCTAGCTGGTCCTGTGTGGAAGCTGAGCGTGGGGGAGCCACCCCCCCCCCCTAGCTGTTCCTGTGTGGAAGCTGAGCGTGGGGGAGCCACCCCCCCCCCTAGCTGGTCCTGTGTGGAAGCTGAGCGTGGGGGAGCCACCCCCACCCCCCCCTAGCTGGTCCTGTGTGGGAGCTGAGCGTGGGGGAGCCACCCCCCCCTAGCTGGTCCTGTGTGGGAGCT